ACACACACACACACACACACACACACACACTCGCACACAGCTGAGTGAGACAGAGGATGTAGTGGAACGTCACAAGATCCGCACAGCCATACGCAAACTGAGACAGGTCTCGGAGACAGGTCAGTATATTATTGTCGTTTTTGTGGTTGTTGTAGTCGCTGTTGTCGTCGTAGTCGTCGTTGTTGTGGTAGTTTTTGTTGTTATTGTTGTTGTTGTTGTTGCTGCTGCTGCTGCTGCTGCTGCTGCTTTTGAGTAATCGTCGGTCAAATGTTGTCAGCGTCCTCTTCCTCCTCTTCCTCCTCCTCCTCCTCATCCTCATCCTCTTCCGTATCATCGTTACGGGACAACAGTAAATCAAAAACATCATTGAAAAATACAAATACACAGCATTTCATATGTTGAAATAGTTTGATGTTTCGACTCATGGTCTTTGCCAGGCCTGCAATAACAAACACTTTAGCAACAAGTGCTAGCACATCATCATCATCATCATCATCATCATCATCATCATCATCATCATCATCATCATCATCATCATCATCTTGAAAAAGAGATATACTTGAAAAAAACCCAACACAAACAACAACAAGGATAAATGTGCCTCTTTGGTTCTGTCACAAATTCAAAAGATTAAAAGTTATAATAAATGCCTCCAGAAGTCGCTCCTGTCTAACAATGTTTAAAAAGTTGTATCACAAGTGGGATTTCTTTTTGAGTTAAAATCAGCTGTGACTTACAGTCTGGCACAGATAACTTAAACACGTCAGGGATTGACAAATGTGCTAGACACATTCATAATTCGGGTTAACTGATAACGAAAAATTAAAGCGCTATCACTTGGGGTATGGTAAATTGTATGAGCTATCATTGATTTTGAATTTTACATATTCGTGTTTTCTATGCCCAACTGTATTGTGTTTTTAATGAGTCTGATAACTTATCTGGCAGATATAAATAGATCATTTCAAAGGCGGATCCCACAGAATGAGGATACGTGGATATGTCTTATAGTAGACAAGATAGGATTTTTGGTGTATAAATCAATATTGAAGAGACCTGAACAAAAAATGTACATAGAATCGAAGGCAGCCATGTCTAGGCCTGAAATATTCTGACGCACAAAGTGTCGCCCTTACTAGCGGGGCAGTTGCGCCTCTTGTTGGTGAATCAGCAGATAGTTTATTGATGCCTTATTTAGCTTCCTGTTTAGCAGGAATTTGCGCTGTACAAATGTTATGATATTAGTTAATGCATGATTTTTTGAAAATACTTCTATTTATTTTATGAGATAAAACAGTTATGGACAGTTTACTATGCTGCTGTTTTATGTGTTAGTTCACTATTTAGTGTTGCTCCTTCTGAACTTGCTGATGTTGACGAAATTTTCGAATACTAATGAGAAGAAAGCCCATAATAAGTCAACCGAAGATAACTTTTTCATTTCTTATTTTGAATTTAAAAAATGTACCGCATTGCACCATCTTTTAGGTCATAACTTGCTGTGGTATCTGGTCGTAGATTTAGTTCCAGTTCGTCAACCTATGGAAGGGTAAGGGGTTGGGATGGGGGGAGAGTCGAAGGAATGATGAGTGCGTGCCGCGGAGGAAGTAGAAGAGAAAAATGAACCCCGAGCAGTTGTAAGTTGTTTCTTTTTTCATATTTATAAGATACCACTTGTTCTGTCTGCCGGGGCAAAGGCGCATGGTAACATTGGATCCGGTTTGGAAAACATTGTTGGTTTAGGCGCGAAAAGGTTCTTGAAACATTCTCCCGGCCCTCGCTTCTGTGTTGACTTAATCTAAGCCTAACAAAGAAGGAAAATGTCTCCGTGTCTTAGCTTCTGAGCTGGGAATTTACTCCTCAATTTGGCGTCACTCAAAACCTTTGCCCCAATTCCTACTAAATTCTTACTATGAAATTGACGTGTTTGCTTTTCACACTTCTCTTCAGCAAACTCTGCCTCTCCAGATATATCGAGGGTGTGATTGATTGTACATATTTTTCTGTGTCCTCGTGACACAGTTTAGATCATTTTGGAGGCGAGGTCTGCTTGGGGCCGTGCCGGTCAGGGCCAACCTGGACTGAGTTGGATGCAGCATCTCAGATGACGGACAGGCGGAGATACGTGATGCAGTAACTCTGTAGTCGCTTCTCTTCTGGGAAATCAATTGAACTCACGCTTTTTGCATGAGAAATGTGAAATGGTATAAGTTTAACGCCTCTGTGAAACCTGTTAGGTTATTTAAGAGGAGGGACCCCTGATTTTAACGCATATCTCCGAAAGGACCGAGCCATAAAGAACTTTCGTATGAAGTTCTGCCTTTCTGAAGGACACAACATTGGACCGAGCTAAGGCTCGGAACCCCGAACCCCCGAACCCCCAATCTTATTATTACAGATCCTCCTTTGCATGCAGTACCTTCCACATACCGATGCTGTCAGATCTTATGAGCGTGTCAATGTTGAGGCCTTTATTGTGCCTAACTACTACACCACAGACGCCGGTCTGTCTTGAGGTCTAGAGGGCCCTTTCTCGAACATCATCACTGTATAGATAAGGGACTCCGGCTGCGTACGTGGGTGGAGACAAAATTATTAGCTCGTGGTGTTGGAGAGAGGGAGAGAGTCAGAGACAGGAAGTTCGGTTGTCATGTTTATCGGTCCCTTTCGTAGACTCTTGCGCAGTTAGTTGACACACTTGATTAGCGTGCGGTAGTTCAGGGTTTGAACCTAACGGGATTTTCTTCGGCCCAGGTACCTTGATGTAGAGATTATGCGTAGCTGTACGTCAATCCGTCTCAATTCCTACTTTGAAAAATATTTTTAAAA